TTTAAATTTTTTTTGGATAAACACCTAGAAGTGGGATTTCTGGATCATATGCTAGTTCTGTTTTTTTTTTTTTTAATCAAAAGCATATTTTTGAATAATTTATCATAAACTTTATATCTTCTTTTAAATCAGGACTTTTGGAATTCAAATAGGTAAACAAAAGCAATCACAGGTTGTTTATTTGAATGAACTTAACACAAGGCATCACAAGATGTAAGAAAATGCTAACACAATTTTCAAACAGGTGACCTCTCTGTTCCTTAAAATTCCTTACAATTTTCTAATTAAAATCTCATCTCCTTTTCCATATATAAGTGGAGAGCATTTTTAAACTTTCCTTAAGCTCTCTTTATAGAGTATAAAGTATATGGATGATAACACTAAGGTCTAGGGTTCGCATCCCCTTATCTGCCAGCAACCAAAATATATGTATATATAGGGAGTCCCATATACAAATTGAGGAAGCTTCGTGGCCACTAATTCCTAGAGCCTTTTCATTTAGCCCTTTCTTCTTGAATAGAAGTCTTTAAATGCCTGCTTAGAATTTACTCAAAAGGAGGTATTAAATTGTTTCCTTAGACCTGGCAACTCATTCTCTTAGTACTCCATTTCCACTCATTGTGTACTCCCTGCATTCCAGTCCATTCCAAGAGAGTAAATAACCCCACAGTGCACTGCTTTTATTCATACAGACCCGATATTGTCTTTTTAAATCAGGAGAGAATTTCGTATAACCAATTCAAGTTTTCTAACTACTTCCTTAACGTTACCCACCACCTGCAACACAATGAACACATGAGCTATTTATTAATCATCCCACTTAGTGAAGCTATACATTTTCAGCCTGGGTTTTTATACCCAAATGAAATGCTAGTAAGAGATAAAATATTTCATAAGAAATTTATATGTATTTTAAAATTTCTGTCTTCGAGAATAAACACAATGTCTTTGAAGATTCATGATTTTCTTCTTGTTGTTATTTCACTGCCTGGTACAGATCTTGAATCCCAGTCCTTGGTGTTACCAGCACCATGCTCTAACCAACCAAGCTACCCAGCCAGCTTTCTTCGAAAATTTAGATATGTTTTATTTTACCATAAAAATAAATTGATTTTTTGGGCCGGCCTGGTGGCACCTGCGATAGTGCACCGCTTGGGAAGTGCGGCGGCACTCCCGCCGGGGGTTCGGATCCCACATACAGACCGGTTCCCGCTCACTGGCTGAGCGAGGTGCGGGAGCAACACCAAGGGTTGCGATCCCGTTGCCGGTCCTGGTCCGGTGCGGGGGCGACACTGAGGGTTGCGATCCGTTGCCGGACATGGAAAAAGACAAAAAATTAAAAAAATTAAAAATAATAATAATAAATTGATTTTTTTATTTGAAACATAATTGATTATACATATTTGTAGGGAACAGAGTTGAATATCAATACCTGTGTACTATATGTGATGATCAAATCAAGATAATCAGTATATTCATCATTACAAAATATAATCATTCTTTGTGACCCTTAACCAATTTCTCACTAACCCTCTCCTACTCCCCCTTTCCTACCTCTAGTAACCACAGTTCTGTTCTCTCCATTTGAAAGTTCAGTGTATTATTATGATTGTTCTTTCTTTCTTTCTTTCTTTCTTTCTTTCATTTATTTATTTATTTGTTTGTTTGTTTGTTTGTTTTTAGGGCCCACTTATGAGTGAGGACATGTGGTTTTGCTTTCTGTGCCTAGCTTATTTCAAACATAATTTTCTCCAAGCTCATCCGTGTTGCTGCAAATGGCAGAATTTCATTCTTTTTATGGCTGAGTAATATTCCATTGTGTAGAAGAAAACATAGGGGAAACATTGCAGGATAAAGGACTGGGCAAAGACTTTATGAATAAGACCTCAAAGGCACAGGCAACAAAAGAAAAAATAAACAAACAGTATCATATCAAACTAAAAAGCTTCTGCACAGCAAAGGAAACAATCAAAAAAGTGAAAAGATGACCTACAGAATGAGAGAAAATATTTGCAAACTATGCATCTGACAAGGGATTAATATCCAAAATATACAAGAAACTCAAACAACTTAGTGAAAAAACAAGTAATGCAATTAAAAAATGGGCAAAGGAGCTGAATAGACATTTCTCAAAGGAAGATATACAAATCACCAACAGACATATGAAAAAAATCGTCAGCCTCACTAAGCATCAGGGAAATGCAAATCAAAACCACATTAAGATATCATCTCAACCCAGTTAGACTTGCCGTTATTGAAAAGACTGTAAGTGATTTTAAATTGAATATCCTTTGGCCCCAGATACTCCTAATCTTCCACCCTTCATAGATTGCTTCTTTCAATTTAAAGTCCTGTTACTAGAATTCCATGTGTGGCACAGCATTTTTGGCTAGCTGAGTTTGGAATTATCCTCTGTTTATAAGATACCATCACCACCTCCCAATTCCCCTCCCACAATTGTTTACGTCATTCATATACCTGGAATCTTATTTTTGGTAATCTAGGGGACAAGGAGAGAAGGAATTTGAGTTTCAGAAATAAGGATCAAAGAAAATAAAGAAAAAAAAATGAATACAAGGTGCCTGTTCCCTTCTAGTGCCTTGGGTGTGATTGAGGCAAAGCATTTGTAGTTAGAGATGTGAAGATCAAGAATAAATGGACTTCGTGAGGCTTTGGACACAGACTGAGCTATTGTAAGGCCCAGGGACCCAGTATCGACAGGGATTCCCTCTAGCCCACCCTGCCCATGGAATGAAGCAATGCTCTGTTTCCTTAAGAACAAAAGCTTTAAGAACATAAAAGTTGACATATATGATACAGATACTAGAAATACCATTACGGGCAATGGAAATGATGCAACTTCATCTAGTCTATTCTCAGGCATGCAATATAAGTGGGGCTGGAACCGGTGAGGGAGAAGAAAAAACAACGCACGTTTCCAGTGGTGACAGCAATTAACAAACGTTTTATTGTAGTCATTGTTTACAGATTCATGGAGACAAGCCTGGGAACTCCTACCAAAGTCTCAAGAATACCTTGAGCAAGGTCACCTTTACTAATCCGGCCATCAAACTATCATAATTTGATCACTAAAAATAAATGTAATCTAAATATTGAGTCCTAATTGATTATATAATTCTGAAATGCATAGGAGTGAAGGGTACTAATGCTGATGTCTGCAACTCACTTTGAAATGCATCAGAAAACAAAGTGAGTTGATGCATGAATTGATGGATGGATAAGTGAATGGACAGATTATATGATAAAGCAAATACAGCAAAATATTAGCAACTGCCAAATCTAAGTATCGAATATACAGAGTTCACTATATATTATTTTCTTTTTTTTTCAATATCTCCATATGATGGAAATATTTCATAGAAAATTTTACAAAAAATGTAATCATGTTTTGCTGTCACAGACCGATAAGGCATGCCACATGTGGATCACACAGGATTTAATTTCAGGCCCTATTGTACCTGTCCTGGGAGTCATAGCTGTCACTCCAATCTCTTCGGAGGCTGTATTTCCCTTTTCTTCCTCTCTCTCCCTGGAACTAAAAGTTCTGGTTCTTTTTTATACCTTGTTCCATCATATATTCATTTAAAACCAAGCACATTATAATTAACGAGCACTCAGAATGCTGGCTCTACAGAGTAGGTGATTCTCAGCCTGTTCCAAGGTTGGACATGGTTAGGACAACTCGACTCTTCTGAGAATGTTCTTTAGGGTCTCCTTCACTTCCTTGTTCCTCAGGCTGTAGATGAGGGGGTTTAACATGGGGATCACTGTCGTGTAGAACACGGACACCACCCGATCCTCTTCCGAGGACTGGCCAGAGTTACCTCGCAGGTACATGAAGATGAGGGTGCCAAAAAAAAGTGACACAGCCGTGAGGTGGGAGGCACATGTAGAAAAGGTCTTGGCCCGGCCTCCAGCCGAGGGGATCCTCATAATAGTCACGATGATAAGCAGGTAGGACACCAAGATCACCACCATGCAGGCAGGGAGAACAAAGATGGCAAACACAATAATGACCAATTCCTGGGTGTAGCTGTCCCCACAGGTCAGCTTTAAAAGAGGAGGGAGGTCACAGAAAATGAAGTCGATCTCATTGTTTCCACAGAAGGAGAGAGTGAAAGTTGAGACGGTCCGCACCAAGGCGCTGAAGAGGCCAGCCACGTAAGCCCCAGCCACAAAACCCCAACGGGCCTTCTGAGTCATGATGGTGACATAGAACAGGGGCTGGCACACGGCCACATAGCGGTCGTAGGCCATGAGGGCCAGGAGGTAGCAGTCGATGGCACCGAAGAAGGTGAACAGAAAGAACTGAGCTGCGCAGCGTGTGTAGGATAAAGCTGCCCCGTGCTCCAGCAACACGGCCATCGTCTGAGGGACAGTGACAGACGAGTAGCAGATGTCCATGAAAGAGAGATGTCTCAGGAGGAAGTACATCGGGGTGTGGAGCCGGCGATCCATGTGGATCAGAATGATCATCCCCAAGTTCCCCAATAAAGTGATGAGATAGATAAACAAAAACAGGAGGAAGAGAGGGAGCGCCCATTCGGGACATTGGGTGAATGCGATAAGGAGGAATTCGGTCACTAAGGTGAGGTTTGTCCCCGCCATGAAGCCAGTGGTGCCCGAGAGGATGAGAAACAAGTTAGAAAGCTGCAAATACAGGTAGGATTTACTTGTGTTTCTAGCTCACGTTTCCTGAGCATGGACCATGGACAAAATATGCCAGGTGTTGTGTGGAGCTTCAGAGATGACTGATCGTAGCTCCTGCCTTCAGGGGAGTTCTGGGACCGTCATCTTAGCATGTCAAGCAAACAGATAACAGATAAACGTTTTCAGGATAGGAGTGCGTATTAGAGTCCATCTCTGCTGCTAAGTAGCTGTGCGAGTCCCCAAGTCAGACAGCCAGTCTGAGCCCAAACTGCCCCACGGCTCCACTAGCAGCTGACACAGGGCTCTAGTCTGCCAGGGGACCGCCCACCTCAGTACTCTTTCCCTTTTCCTCCATGACCCCAACTCCTCCCTCTTTCACACCTGGAAATCTCGCCTGGATGAAAACAGCAGCCGTGGAAATAACTGCTCTCTCTGCCTTCAGATTTGCTTCTTGCCATTTCCTGCTCCTCACTGTAGTCAGAGTGATATTTCTGAGACTTTAGTTTGATCGTTTCTCATTCCCTTGTTTAAAATTCTGCCATGGTGCCCCATCACGAATTGAATATTATTCAGACTCCTGCACATGGTGGCAATTCCCTCTGTGAGATCTCCTCTGCTTGTTTCCTTGCCCTGTTCTTATTTCTCATTGAGAAGTAAGAAAACACCCGTGGCCACGCCTCACCCTCCAACACTTCATTCCAGCCAGACTGAATTATTAGTAGCTTCTCTACTCCCCTCATGTTCTCTCACATCTCTGCACTTTGGCAAGACACCCCTTCCACCTGGAACACCTTCTCTTTCCTATCCTCAGGGTCCTTCTCAACTCCTGCACCACCTTCAAACCTCAGCTCAGATCATACTTCCTGCAGGAAGTCCCTCTTGAGTCTAACTTCCCCAGTCAGAGTATGTGCCCCTGGAGCTCAGCATATAGTAAGGGCTTAATATATTTTTATGGAATAGACAGTCATCAAATGAGATATGAAGCACATTGCAAAGGGAAATGTACTGTATCTATGTTCAAGTGATTATTTTTATTTTCATGACAGTGTTCAAAAAACAAAAAAATGCCTGTAGGCTAAGAACTCACTGAAATCTATGAACAATCATGAAGGTCATAAGCCATTCTTGGGTTTACACTTCATGAGGTAGAAGCTTCTCTTATCCTCATTTTACAGATGAGGAAACTGAGACAGAAAGAATTTAAGTAACACACCCAAGTTTGCACAGCTAGTGAATGGGGGAACTGTCATTAGGGATAAAACTGTACATAGAAGCTCTATTTACCTCATAACAGGATTTCACATGCATTGCAGGCATATTCCAACAGTCCCTACTCAGGAAGTGCCCACCTATAAGTAAACATAAATACCAGCACTGTGGTCTATTAACATCTTAAGGCTGATGGAGGCTTTTGAGCTAGGACGTCCTTTGGCAGAGTGGCAGTGCAGAGGGATAGAGAAGACATTTGATCATCTTTAAAGCATAAGACTTTGGCAGCTAGACAAGTATTGTACAGACTTATTGGGGAAAATGATAAATAAAGGAAATTGGATCTTGTGATGTGAACTGGGCATGAACCAAGAGAACCAGGTCAGTTCCTCACCTGAATTCCACTTGACCTTTATCTGGCTGGTCCACTTTTCTCTTTGTCCACTATTTTTCCTTTGTCTCTAAAAGGTCATTTCTCTTCCACTGCTGGGGGAAGCACACTAAGGGTGCAGAGGAGACAGCACTGTGCTGGGAGCAGGTCTGTGTGGTTCCTGCCGCTCTCCCATACCTGTTCAGTTATGACACTGAGCAAGTCTCTTGGACCTTCAGTGTCCTTCTCCCTCCTCCTACATTCTTCTCCACAAGATCCTTCAAGCCAGTTCTTTTCTGTCAAGGACTCCCTTTTACTCTTTCTGTTTCCATGATCTCATATATCTGGTAAGGATGCATTTCTCATCCCAGTTTTTGTTCAATTCCAGGCTAGGATAGCAGAGGTTGGAGAACAGCCTCTTCCAATGGGCTCCCAGCACCAACACAAATCCCTTTTGGAGTAGACACTAATAGTTGCTACAAAAGTTCTGAGGTTCCCAGTTGACAGCTAAAGTGGTCTCTAGGGAAAGGCAATTATTGCTCAGGTGGATTCCTAACAAGGCACTTGATCCCTCCCATGTAGGAGGAGAGAAGGCTTGCCTCCCAGTCCCAGCTCCCAAAGCCCCACCACACACACCCTGAGTGAGGTTTAAAAGGACTTAATCCCAATTCTGCATGGCCCCTCGAGGAGTTAGATGTCTCTGGCTTTAAGTTCTCCAGTTGAAACTGTATCAGTAACTGTACCCATTGCCCCCCTCACTAGTGTAGCTGTATCCTGATAGAAGGGAGGCTTTGATCCACATTATCTGGGAGGGCCAACTGGGTACCCTGCACAGAGAGCTCACAAGATACATCATGTCATCTACTTGTCCTCTGTGGGAGTAAGGTGTTTCATTAAGTCTCTACCTTTTTTTTTCTTTAAATGCAAATGAAACCATAGGGAAAACAAAAGCCTGGGATGTTGCCCAGAACAGATATTGGCAAGTTCTTCTTGTTGTCATGGCCTTTGCCAGCTCTCTGCAACTTTGTCACTACGGTATTTTTTTTAGCCCCCAATTCATAGATTTTGCTAAGTCATTGAATTTAACATCTCAGTTCAAGAAAGAAAATAAAAAGATGAGGAAGAACAGAATTGTTCTCTTTGATAATTATGAGAACCAAGAGAAAATGGGGCCATTTAATTCACTGATTAATCACTATACTAAGAGTCCTAATGGAGAGCAAGAGACACAAAATGAAACAAAAAGAAAATGCAATGCCTGTCTATGAGGAATACGTGAACTAATAGCTGAGATGATTATCCATCCTACAAGATAAGAAGTTCTATACTCTTAAGCAAGGTGTAGGTAAGATGCTATGGGGATTCAGTGCAGGGCGAAAATTACTTTGCCATTCGGTAGATCAGGAAGGGCTGCCCAGAGGAGGCAAACTTTTATGGTCAGTTTTGATCAAGGAAGATATGGGAGCAAGATGAGAAAAATTCTTCAGGAAGTGGAATCAGCATGACCAAATGCATAAGAGCAGGAGACCCCAGAGACTACTCTTGGGACAATGAGTGGCACTTTGGCAGCAGCACAAATGGTACTAGGTGAGTCAAGTCCCAGACTAGGGTGAAGATAGTGAGGCAGTGGCTCAAGCACACAAGTTAAGGTGGCACCAAAAACCTCAGTAAACAAAATAAATACTTTAATATAATATTTTTAAAAGTCAAAATCAGTGAAAAGAAGTCTATGATGAAGAAAACATCAAAATTTTAAATAAGACAGCACAATGTTACTGATTTTCCTTTTGCCTCAGTCTCCAATATGGCTCAGCATAACACTAGTACTAGGAGATATGCTTGAAGGGGGTGTGGAAGGAGACCAAGGGACTTCCAGGAGACAGGCTTAACAAGTACCTGTCAATCATCTAGGGATATCCCACTCCCTTCCTCTCCACTCTCTAGGAAGAAAAGGAAAACACAGAAAGGTCAGCTTAATGAGATCTAAAACTTGCAGAGTATCTTTAACCACGTCACAGCACTCTTCTTCATAGATCTTCACAAGAGCCCCGTGGGACTGAGGGAGAATGAAGCTCCTCTTTGCATTGATGAGGAAACAGCATCACGGGGAGGGGTCCGAGCCTATATAGTTACTTGGTGGATAGGCTAGAAATTTTGTGTGTTCTGCAAACACTGGTTGCTGCACACCCAGGCCAGAGCCTCTTCTACCCAAGAAGACATATTTTTTATGACCCTACATACACACGTGCAGATGAGTGCCAGAGCTTGTTAGGTGAAGAGGTAAGTCCTCTAGCTATGCTGTGTTAACAAATAATCTTAAAATCACAGTGGCTTTACAAAATAAGTTTATTTCTTATTAATGAAAAATCTACGGTGGGTTAGGTAGTCTGTCCTCCAGCTATGCCGTGTGGAGCAGGTATCCTTCAGGACTTCTGGTGCAGAGAAAGAGCAAAGGTCAGTTCGTGCTGGATATCACTGAGGACCAGGACTGGGAGGGGTATGCCTCACTCCACCCACATTCCAGTGACCATAAGCCAGTCACATGGCCTCAACCTAACTGCAGGGATGCTAGGAAATGCAAAGAAGCACACAGATATTTGTGCAAACTCATGCTTGGGCTAAAAATCTCTGCCACATCTCCTATGTCTTGTGCAGTATAAAGTCTAGCTCACTCAGGGATCACTCGTATATTTGCGTGATTCTCCATTCTCCTGCTTCCACTAACACATTACTTACACTGTGCCTGCTTCCTGTGTCTGCTCACCCTTCCCGTCACGGCAAGCATGAGGCATGACCTTTTTTCTTTTTCCTTCATTCTCTAAAGCACAGAGAACACAGTGTTTGTTTGGGTAGCAGACTTTTAATAAAGATATTATTGAAAACTTAGGAGATTTACAGTACTGCACAGAATAGGGAGGAAAACTAGAACTGAAAAATTGATGTTGTGTTGCAAATTCCCCAGCCAGTTCCATCACAAGGAATTTGTCACTGACTGCTCCTCACCTTCACCTTAAGCCTGCCTGCTACTATTCAGCCCCATCTCGTTCTGTACTAAAATAATCTTTTATTTATATCTCTCTTCTTCCAGTTACACAGTCTTCCAAATCCCTATCTTATGCAATCCACTGGGAGAAGACTCAATGATGATCTAAATCTTTAATACCCAAATAGTTCATTCCATTTAGACCATGCATTGGAAGTCCTTAAATTTTATTATCAAGATGCCCTTTAAGATATTTTCCTAACAAAGGAGAAATTATCTCTTTAATAGAGGAAAATTAGGTCAAACATCAGCTAACTTTTCTTTTTTTCTTTTCTTTTTTTTTTTT